CCCCCCAATCTGCACATTCGAACTGGGAGGAAACTGTTGACTGCTGCTGCTCCCTAGAGATCCATTCAAGATAGCCTGCTCTATTAGCATAAGTCCGCCATGGCCCTCATAAGCAAGACCTCCAGGTAGCAGCCTCTGCCGCTCAGCAACAGCACAGACAATCGCGGCCCTAAATGAACTCGAACAAGTTAACCAATTCGCAACATCAGCCCCGTCAACACCAATATAACCAATGATCCCAACCCCTTGAATCGATAACAAAATCATCAGAAAATGCCTTGGCACAAAACCACCTACAAACGGAAAAACAAAGACTTCTTCGTTATCAAACAGATCTTCATAGTCATGCATGGTCATACCCGGCTCTTCGGTAACAGCTCCGCTCGCGGAAGCATCTCCACAGAGATTAGATTCTTCAGTCGGAATCGAATCGACCCCAACCTCAAATCCAACAGGAACCCACTGAAACCTACCCTCAACCTGAAGGCACCGATACGTAGCATTATAAGGAACATCTACCCTTTGGGTTTGCCCCGTCCCAGTGTCCTGAAGTCCACAAATCACACACAAGACAGCATTTCTTCGATACGCCTTAGCCACATTCCGCAAAGACCTCCATTCAAGAGCTTGACCCCCTAAGAAAACTACGAGAAACCTAGAACAAAATGAAAGAACCTTTACAGACAAACTCCATACGGTAGGATTCGGCCTTGCAACCTGCGTATCCCGACTGCTGGAACTTCCACTAACCGGGACCCCGGGTTGGATAGACAACGATGAATCAGGTCTGGTTATCCAGTCCGGTAATCCACCATATCTTTCCATCATAACCGGTGGGTCAACTATACCACCTTGGGCAACCTGCTTCCTCAAACGAACACGCTGTATAAAGGTGAGTCCAGTCCTTAGCTCTTCATCCTGAAGTTTTTTCTGGGCCTCAAGCCAACCCCCTTCAGAACTCTGATCAGAGTCGGAGGCTTCAGAGACAGCGCCATCCTCAGCTTCCTGCTCTAAACTCACAAAGCCAACAGCCTCGCCTACAACCGTCTGAGTTGGGTCTTCAGATTCAAACCAGTCAAAGCTTAGATTCAGAAACCAGCCACTCCAGAGAACAATAACCAACCCTACTGAGACCCCAAGAACCCAACGAATCCACTCAAACTTATCCTCGATCCACTGTGTAGGCTGCGCTCTAGCCCCAGACAATGCTGCAAGTAATGCAATCCCTGCAAGCGTGCGAGGGGAAACAGAGCCATGCGAGCCCAAGTTCATAGACAACCTACTCACAGTACGAATGGTTTCGTCAGTTCCGGCTTGCCCTAGCCTAGACCGAATGTTCATTAACTCTACAAGCTGGAGAATCCTAGATCGGGCTAGGGTCTTTGTTGCAAGATCGGCTAATTGGACTGATCCTGGAACGTAGGTCACAACCAGAGAGCCAGCATCGATCCGAGCACGGCCTGCTGCTGCTCGCATCCTGAGATGCCTGTTCCTCCAACCCAAACTTCCAACAGCAAAAGCCCTTACAGTAGCTTGATTATCACACAAAGCTGATACCAAAACATCAGACTCAATCAGCTCCTCGATGATACCACCAACCGACTCTGAAGCAACAATGCCAGCGATGACCGCCACCAACTCTGCTTCTGCAGAGGACAACGTTATGAACGGTTGTTTGCTCGATTCCCAACACAGCAACATTCCACACCACAATATGAAAATCGCCTGACAAGACCGTCCGCCTTCCGGCGCATGTGAAGCGTCTGTGTACAACTCCAATGTGTTTATTGTGCGTGGGACAGGAGCATCAACCCAGGAGTTATCGCTTGGCCTCTGATACTCAATCCATAAATCAGCAGTACCATACAAGTACCTAAGAACCTGATATGCCTTCTCAATTACTACGCTAGGTGCCTTAACCGCATACTGTCCCAACTTACTCACCGCGAAGGCAATGTCAGGGCGGCTTTTTGACGACGCCCAGAGGAGCGCACCCGTCATAGCTTGAGCCTCACGGATCGTTTCCAACTGCACCGGGTGTTCATCCTCCGGATCACTCCACTGAGTCAAAGGTGCACTGACGCTGCTGGTAATGCTGTACCTCGTAAAAAGCTCGTGCAAGTAGGAATGTTGTGATATACGATATCCTCCACCCTCCAAAGCTTGAATTTCAAGTCCACAAAACTTTGTGGCAGCCTCCTTCCGAATCCACTCCGGATCGGATAACTTCCACAGCTTCTGGATCTCATCGAACAACACCTGGAGAATCGGTGACATTGCAAACCCCAACAAGTCGTCAACGTAAATGATCAAGATTCCATGCCAGCGCTCCTTGTCGCCCTCGGCAACCTCGCGCTTGACAATGAACCAAAGTGAGTCATCGCTGATCCCTTGCTGCAAAGCATATGAAACACCATCACACTGGAAGGCCAGCACTCGAAGAGACTTGTCGCGAAAACGAGCCCACGCCAAAGGAGCTTGTCTCAAGCCGTACAACGCCTTGAGTACGCGCCAGCGATGATTCGCAGAAAGTATTTTCATTTCTACCAATATAGCTGGAGGTCGTACGATTATAACTTTCTCAGATTCAAGCTCGTCGACAAGCGGCGCGTGAAGAAAAGCTGTACGTATATCGGCGCTTAAAGCTGCCCATCCTCTATAAGCTGCATAGCCCAGAACTGTTCTGACGGTTAAACCTTCTACGCCGCTGGCGTACAAGTTTGTTGGGTCATGAGCCTCCGATGGTATGTAGTTACCGCAAGCTACGCACCGGAACCTGCGCTTCCCGATACCTGCTTTTCGGGTAAGCACCGCTTTTCCAGGGACCTGGACGATCTTTTTCCCCTCTTGAACCAGTCGTTCAATGTCTGATACCACAATCCGCTCAACCGCCTTATTTGTCACCTCCAAGGAAACCACTTCTTCCGTAGCTGAGGGAACCCACAAGGCCAATTCTCCTCTTGCCTCAGCCAGGCTAATCGTCCTTGTCTGAAGAAACACTTCGGCGGGACTGGGCTGATCATCAGAATTCAACGGAACTTCCCGATTCAGAGCCTTTAGAAGAACGCTCGAACTTCGAGCAAAGTCTTCCCATAGCAGTCCTTCATACCAATCCCGTTGGCTCTCAACAGACCTCAAAGTCTGAATCAGCTCATCGGCTACCTGATTATCATTAAAACAGCTAAGCTCTTTCGAAATGGCCTTACACGCAATTGCCGAAGTGAGGTGGTTTCTTAACGCATGCTCGCGCCAACCAGGCTTCAAAACCTCACATGGAAACTCAACTTCCCAGGCAACCTCAAAGGTCATGTCAAAAGGAGTTTCGCCATCATAATCCTCAGAATAGGGCCACCCATCAGCCGCAGCCTTATTTTCAACATTAAACTTCGAAATCGAAGCACACTGCAAAGCAGAACTTGAGTCCAACCCTTCCGAGCTGAATCCTAAACCCTCAAGCTCAAGAGCGTACTTATCCAGAATCTTCCATGCACCCCGGGGAGCAAAAGCAACCAACACCCACCGATCCTGGCCACACCAAGGTTCAGTGCAGTGCCAACGGCGGCCATTAAAAACATATGGTTTATCATGGATGTCCCTTACTGACCCAGCCCTCAGATCACCCTCTGGCAATTGTCTCAACGCAGGGCCCTGGCCATCGGAACCTTCAACCCACAACCCACCACCTTGAAATTCCCCAAGGGCAACAATCCAAACTGGCACAACCCTTTCATTTCTGGCATCTTGGTGTAAAGGAGCGGAAGTGTTATGGGCTAGGTACAAGGTGGTATAAGGGTGTTCGCAACCCTGAGCCCGAACAAACTTATTGAGATAGCGTACAAGATCCCCGTTATCCTTAGCAAACCTCGATATCCCATTGAACCCACCTTGATTATACAAACCCATCACCGCGCACTTACCATTTCCACTCATCACCTTGCGATTGGGAGACCGAAGCCTATCAGCACACCTTCTAAGAACCTCTAAGGCCTCACTAGTGCTATACACCCCACCATTAAGCTTATCTTCCAACCAAATGCCAAGATCACCAGCAAGGATCTTCACTGCCGCACCATTCACATGGCAATTTTCAAAGCAATCCTCAAGAGCAAAGTCGTGATCACAATCCTCTGATTCAGAATACAACAACTCTTCCTCGGACTCCAACTCACCGACTAAACCCTGATCTTCAACGCCAATGCCCTCAGAACTTTTAAAAAACCCAAGGCACTCCCCCCCAGGTAACAACCTGGACGCAGAGCACCGGCAAGACGGCCACCGGTGACCAATAGCAGCTACAGCACGAACCGCAAAGCCCGGCGAGCGCTTGGTGATCAACCGGTGCTTCGGCTTAGGGACCGTTGCCACATCAATCGGATACACAGTGTTTGTGAGAAGCACCTTCTGCTCAGAACCATCCTGCACTAAAACCAGATGTCCACCAGCACAATCAGTGGCAACGCCGAGGTACTTACCCGGAACAGTCCTTGCCTCCCAATGCTTCTTATGACCCGTTTTAAGCCGCTTCCTAGCCTGCAACTCACTTCCAAAGGGTAACAAGACCGATTGGCCTACACCTAACACCTCAGCTAACTGCACAAAGTTTCGTTGCGAGGCATGAAGGATAGCAAAGGGCCAAAACTCGACAGGAAGTGATGCCACACGGAGGAGTTTCCTGGCATCCTGCTTCAAGTGCTGCACTGCTAGCTCTGCTTTATTGCCAGCCGGATCCTCCCCCGCTGTAAAAGAAGCATGCACACCCCGCTCACGAAGCCACTGGATTAATGGGTGCGTGCGCAACTCCTTAGCCCGGTCCGCAAAGTAGCGATGAACAGGGAACCCAAACGACTCCAGCCTATTAACCAAAGCCTGAACCTGTCCCATTACCTCCTTACCGCCCTTAGACCGTAGGGGAATTCCCAGAAAGAGTGTCTTCGTAACAACCTTGGACTCCGTAGCGGCACCCACGGCATCACCTGCAAGAGCTGCATCATCCTTAACCCCACTATCAGCAAACGAGGCTCCCTCTAGTAAAGGGTCAACCTTAGGGAACTCCTTTCCCCTAACCCGACGAAACAAAGCCTTGCTAGAAAAACCTCCTACAGACCACTGATCAAACCGATTCAACATCTCATCACAGTCCTCCGAAATCTCAGCAACTGTAGGCACTGCAGTATCAGCTTCCGGCTCACACTCCGAAGGGCTATAGTCCCCCAAATCTTCCGGATGATGCAAAGCAGGTCTCAACTCCGCATTCAAAGGAATCGAATAGGCTGCAGCCACAAAGTACCTGTACCCCCGACCCCGGTCCCTTCCGGAAGAAATGGGATCGAAACTGCGACCATCCTTGAACGGCCCAGCAATGTCCACACTCAAAGAGTAAAGGGTGGTAATCTGGGCACGCCAATGACTACGCTGACGTCCCTGCGCGGCAATGCAGTCTACGCACCCCTTTCTAAAGGGAACATGATCATTTGCCCTATGACGACGAAGACTCTCTTCCTCCGTTAGCTTAGCTAGCAAAGCTTGCCGCTCACCCGGGTCATGAACTTCTAGCTTACAACACCTCCACTGCTCCCAAACCCTAAGGACGCAGTCCGTTAAACCCGGAGCCCAAACCCTAGAACCATTAACCCTCCAGCACTCAGGTACTGGAACATACTCTGGAACCTTCAGGGCCTCAAGGCTCTCAAACAAATCCCAGGAGGACGTTACTAGAGTAGTCGTATCCCGCGCTGGCCCTCCTAAGCAGCCTTGATCAAAGGAGGCCTTGTGCAATCCATAAACCTCACGAAGCCTCTCAACTTCCCCGCACCTAGGAAACCCAGCAGATGAACCCTCAAGCACAAAGAAGACTAGTCTCTTAACTAGCCCACCCTTAACATCCTGCTCCCCCTTGGAATCAGCAGATCCCTTTTGGAGTTCACTGACATCACACTCAGCAGGCATTTGAAGCTTGACGGCTGCCTGCCGCAAAGCCCATAGTGCTATTTCACGAGGATCATCGAGACCCACTGGGGGCTCATCAGGCTTCAAATCACACTCAGTTGCCGAACTCGAGACCCCTTGAGCTTCACTGTCAATCAAATCCGCAGCTGCCTGTGCAACCATGTACACCAAGCACATCCTGTACCAGGATACTTGTGCCCGGACCGCAGCATCTTTCTTATCCCCAGAAAGACCCTCCAGACCATCACCAACATTGAGACCGAAACCCTCAGTGGCAACCACAATCCCTCCTAGAACACCAGACTGAGCCCATCTTAACATCTGAAGATACACCTGAACGACTCCAAGGTCACTGCCAAAATCAGTCCTAAGCTCAATTACTCTTCCAGGCCCTCTCCACTTAGCCCCAGTAGCCCCAATCCGAAGAAGTACTCCCCCTAGCTTCTCCCGAGAAACACTACGCCTCAGCCTACGGTTCCAAGGAGCTACAGCCTGGTGGCCCCCAAAACCGTCCTCAGGGCCCACTACAACCCCTTCCAAGACCGAATCCGAGGCTTCCGGAAATACACTCTTCAAAAGGATGAACTGAGAGGCCTTATCAAGCAACCCGGACGACTTCTTAAGCCTATCACTGAGCCACGACCGTGTACCCTTCAAGTCAAAGCACTCACCTGCCTCCAAACACCGCAAACCCTTGACCGAACAAGCACCAGCCCTGAACTTCTCATACTGAACGAGTAGCTTCATCCCCAACTCCTTTGGAACCAGGGGGCAGCCTTTCACCACTGACACATCCAGCTCGCCAAACTTGGAGTGGCGGATCTTACAACCCTTCTTACCCCATGAAATACGATATCCCATAGAAACTAAGTACCCGGCAGGCAAAATGAGCTGACAGTCTACAGGACTAAGCAATGTACCGAACTCGTTCACATGCAATTCGGTAACACCAGAGGCCAAATCCACCCGTATGGACTTCGCATCCCGAAGCTCATCCACCCCTGCATACCTCAAGGCATTGGTAGCACCAGAATCAATCAAAGCATACTCGGCGCTCGACGCATTCATAGCACTACAGAGCCAAGCCTCATCAATACTCCAGTCACCTACCCTCAACACCTTTGCGCTAGCTCCCTGTAGAAGCTTGGCCGCTTCAGCAAACAAGGCTTCCTTGGAGCCCGGAGAGATTGAGGTTCCGGAGCTCTCTGAATTCCGGGTGCCGGCAGTTCCAGAAGGTGCTTCCTCCGTTATGCCTTTAGCTTGAGGCTGGGACTTAGGCTTGGGCTTCGCTTCGGGCTTCTTCGGCCCAGGGGGACTCTTGGCGCTAGGAGACTCACCTTCTGGCAAGACCGGCCTGAGCTCAGCAGGAACAACAGGGCAGTCTGGCCTGTAATGGCCACTCTGGCCACAAGCCAGGCACCGATTCTGTTTTCGGGCCTTACTCCTATCATGCTTAAACGTACAACTATCCCCAAACCTACACCCAGTACCGTCAGCAAACTTGTAACACTCCGCCGTACCACCAGAGCCACCCTTAGGCGATTTTCCTTTACCCTTCCCAGTGTTCCCATCCCCGCTTACCGCCGCCACACTTGGACTCGGCGTTTGAGGTGATTGAGCAGATGGGGGAACATTTGGGGCCTTAGGTTCACTAGCCTTGGTAGCAGCAGCGGCAGCAGCAGCTCTAGCCTTTTTATCAGGGGCTGGTTCAGTAGTCATAGCCAGAGACTCACATTCGGCCTGGATCAACTTCACCAGTTGGGTAACTCCCGTGACAGAGGGATTATAATCTATGGAACTGCGGTGGCGAAATGCGCTTACACGAAACGCTACCATAGGTTGAGAGGATAGCAACGAGCTAGTAGCAGCGTCCACCCCTTTTAACAGCAAAGAAGGGTCCGGCAGTGTCGCTTGAATTTCGCGCGCACGGGTTAAATCCTGCTGCCAGCGCCTAAGGCCGGCGATGGCCTCCTTATAGGATCGGCAAGCATCTGGCTGAACCAATCGTGACAACAAATAGGCCCTTTCCGCGCTACCTCCTGGCTGGTACACACACAAAATTCTATACAAGATGGCAGCACTTGTCATCCATCGGTTAGTAACCAACTCTTCCTTAAAGCTCGGGGGAACACACGAAAGCAGTAAGGACACTGCACGAGACTCAACTCGTTGATACTTGTAAGCATCAAAACCAGCAACAACTGTTGACGGGTCTAAAGCTAACCTTTCCAAAGGGTCCGCAGTTAACCACCGCTGGTAACAAGCATTTGCAGTTTCTTCCACCGTCCCGAACCAAGTAGACGCTGATGGTGACAGCCCAGCAAATACTTGCCGCGTTTGAGCTAGCCAATTACCGCAGGTTACAGCACTTGAAGCTAAATCCGCAGCAGCAAGCTTGGGTAGATCTATCACGTATCTAGCAGGCTCCTCCGGCAACCCTCCCGCAGCACCAACGGAGGGGACTCCCCCACCTGCACCAGACACTCCAACACCCCCTGGTCCACGTCCACTAGGGTTATTAAAGTGCCCCAAACCCGCAGCACCGTAAGGCATGCCACCAGTAGCACCGACATCGCCAACACCTGCCAGCCCTGTCCCGTGACATGCAGCACCAAACCCCGGATTCACAGTCCCATAAGCCTGGACACCCCGAGGTGACATTGGAGGAGGACCTGGGGGAGGTCTAATAACCGTGCCACCGGGCGACAGCGGGTATCCGTCAGGACTCAAACCACCCGAAAACCCTACGGACCTAGGCGTATGATAACCCGACTCAACCTGACCATCCCTCAAGGCTAAAGCAGCCGAAGTAAACTGCCTCAAAGTCTGAGTCTCTGTTCCCAAGCCCGTATCACGGCCAACCGGAATCTGAAGGGGAATACCAGGAGGTGCAGGTGGTGGTGGCTTAACCCCAGACATAATAGGTACCGGAGCCTCACACTTAGCATTACTTAAACCAGGATTTTCAACCACTGCTCCGCAGGGCGGCGGAAACATGCCGAAGGGCTGAGCAATCCTAGGATCCCTACACCAACCCCTTTGAAACTCGGAACCTTGGAAATCGTTACCCGGAAACACCCTTGGTATCTGCGCAATCTGATTCTCACACTGCACAGCTGCACAGCTTTGTACATTTCCCGCAAATGACATCGGGGAGTTAGCTTGGGTCTCCAACGCCGTCACGCAAGTTCCTCCGCTCAGGCCACTCGACTGAGACTCCACTGCCTCAAGTCTTTGCCTCAGAACCGCATTCTCCTGCATCATCTGTAGCATCATCTGCTCTATTCTTGAAGGACCAGAGTCCGGAATGAGTTCACGAGTGTCCGAAGCTTCAGGCTGCACACCAGCAGTCGCGATTGCAGATCCAGCCCTGTCCACGGGATTGGTTCCGCGACCCTTTCCTGTAGCCTCCCAGCCACGCCCATCATCCGGCACTTCCGTGCTGAGTTTTTGTTCTTCAGCAGTGGTTGATGCTTGCACCGATGGTTCCAGAGCCATCTCCACCCTGGCCAGCCTAGGAGCCTCTCCACGAAACCCCTGTCCAGCTAAGGCATAGTCCGGTTCCCTTCCAGTGCCAACGAAACTCCTGTCCCCCAGAGCCGCCTCATCAATATCTATTCCTGCACGCCTTCCGTCATCATCAAGCGTAGCTGGCCTAGATCTAAGCAATTCCACCTCGGATCTCACCCTCTCAGAATGAAAGGGGCTCGCTACCGGCAGAGTGGTATTGAGCTCTGCCTCCCCCGACGCGCCCAAAGAAGTAGTTCCTCCAAACGCTGCCTGAGGCGATCCTGCAGAAAGCCCACCTTGCTCAAGCGTCCCTGGAGACATCTCTCCAAAGCATACAGATGCAGAAGTCTGCTCCACATCCTCCTGGCTCAAGGCTGCCTGATAATCGGGTTCAGAAGTTCCAGCGGCGACACTCAGGTCACCTCCTCCAGAACTTCTTCTTTGACGAACAAAAGGATCCATGGCGTCGCAGTACCCGCACTAAGTACTCGACCCGGAAAGGATAGGCCTATCTTAGTGCTCACAGCCCTAGAACCGACCTACGGCTGATAACCTACGTGAAATAGATGGAACCAAAGTAAGACTACTGCCTACTTGGACCCAAAGTGACAGAACAATAGATCTTAAGGAACCCGGAGAGCTTAGACAATCTAAGTCTGAACCCCAGATTCTCGGATCGCACCTCGATTTTTTCGAACAAAAGACAGCCTCGGTGGTGCATCGACGTTTCCACCTGAGCGACAGCCATGCTTCACGCACTCCCCCTCACCTGAGGCTTCAAGCTTCAGGTGATCGGAGCACGCTGTAAGGAAAAATCAGCATTTTAAAGACGCATCGCTCAAGAGAATCATCTCCTATTGCAAAAGTTGGACAAAAGCCTCGTGTACAAGGGCATGATCCTATTCCGAACGGGCTAGAAATAGCCCCTGCTCCTTTGGAGCATTCGGCTACCGGACCAAGAGGCATCCACGAACACTAACAGAGACCACAAGCTTGAGCCGGAATCCTACACCCCCCACAAGACTTAGCATTATGAGGATTAAAAGCCCAGATATTCTGGAGATTTCAGCTCCAAGCTTCCGCCTCCTTCAGTCGGCAGTTGCCAGCATCCACAATTTGGACACCGCGTATCTTAAACAGAGAAGGTCCCAAAACCGATTCAATCGGACGAGTCATCTGAAGACAAGCCATCCCTATCACGCCTTACAAGATAGGACCCTAGGAGGCTATAGAATTCCGATTGAACCCTTTCAGGATAACCATCAACATCAACAGCATATCCCGCGCGCCAGAAGCAAAACAGGATTTTTGCTCGGTGTGGTATACCCGGATGCAAGGGCCACGGCACCGTTTCGGCGCTCACTGCCTGATCTCGCACTGTCTTTCTGGTTCTGTACAGTCGAAGAAACAAGGCACGTCCGATTTCCCAGATTCCGATCACACACGCAGAAAACAGCCACAGACTCCAGCTCTCACTCTCAGAGTCAACCCCTTGCTCATCCCTCAGACACATACCGCCAGCACCCTTGGAGCCACCATTAAACCCTGTATACCTGCTAAAGAGAACCGGCTCCTCTCGTTCATCAACAACTTCGGCAGAGCTAGGAAGTACCCCTCCAAGAACGAACCAAAGAACATAGAGAACAGCGACCCAATAACCATCACTCCTAGGCCGTACTCCCCAAGAACGTCCAAAGGCCCTAGCGATACCCCTCCTGCTCCTATACCAAATCAACAATGACCACCAAATTATCAAAGCTAGCCTCCACCAGTGAACAAATGCCCCAACAAGACTCAAGGTAAGACTAGCTCCAATGACACCAGACATGAGAAAAACACCCCAATGTTCGGAGCCCTGAACAAAGGCTAAGTTACCTTGAGCCCCTGTCAATGCCAACATGGCATGAAACGAAACCCACTCGCCTTCATTCAGCCCTGTCACAACTGTCTCAACCTCAGTCTGGGTCCATCCCTGAAGTGGAATGCTAACCTCATCATCCGCATAGACCCCAATTAGCATCTCAGGTTCAGCCCGAAACCTAACTCCTAAAGCCGGTGGATCAGCTGCTGAATTCACCCTTGCTTCAGCATCTCTAATCACCCATGCTTCTTCGCTCACAGCAATGCTACTGGGTAATGAACGCACTGACGGCTCAGTAGTAGAATCACCGCTCTCTGACGATGACCAGACCTCCTCTTGAAATATCGGAACCACTAAAGGAACCTGGGGCCCTACATACCTATGAGGTCGCTCATCTAGGGTAGGGTCATCTTCAACATACTCTTGGAAAAGGTCCTGAAAGAAATGACGTTGCTCATCCTCAACTTGCATATACGCCGAAGCAACATCAGCAAACTGCGTGGCACTGCTGCTCCCCCCAATCTGCGCCCTCGAACTGGAAGGAATCTGCTGACTGCTGCTGCTCCCCCCAATCTGCACATTCGA